GAGCTATTAATTAGGAACAATGCTGTTAGGAACCTCGTGAGCTCATTTTTCTGTGGACATGTTTTTATTCTTTGAAAAGTGGCACTGCTGGCTAAGTGATCTACCTCCATGGTAAGCTTCCCAGGAACTGCCAGATTGGTTTTCAGAGGGACTCTGACGTTTGTGTTCCCACAGCTGTGTGTGAGGTTCCCTTTCCTCCTGACAGCACTTGCTCTTGCTGGCCTTTCAAGTCACCGTGTCCTGGTGGGCGCTCTCCAGGTTTTATTGTATTCCCAGTGACTTTGTCTTTCCTTACTTAGGGGCCATTTGTAGATCTTCTGTGAAGAAATGTCTGGTCGATCCTTTGACCCTGTTTGATGGTGGGGGCCTTAAGTTACAGGGGTTCTACACATATTCTGGATACAAACCCCTTATCAAATACATACAAATTATTTTTTACCATCTGGTAGATTTTCTTTTCACATTCTTGATATTGTCCTTGAAGTGCAGAAGTTGTTAATGTTGACAATTTTTCATGTATTTTATCTATTTTCTTTATGCTGCTTGAGGTTTAAGTGTGATATTACAAGTTATTCGTTCTGCATCCAACGGTTTATCAGCATTTTTTGAGACGGGTGTTCTTATGTCCCTGATTCACCTCTCACTACCAGCAGCGCGTGTGTGAGGGTCCCAGGCTCTTTAGGTTGTGGGCACTTGTTATCATCCGTCTGTCTTGTAGCCATTGTAGTGGATGTGAAGTGGCATCTTGCTGTCACTTTGATGTAAATTTTCCTAATAACTAATGATATTGAACATTTTCCTATGCTTATTGGCCATTTATTTATCTTTTTTGAGAAATGTCTCATTTACCCAATTTTTTTTTTTCTTCTGTCTCGAAGTGTCATTCCAGTGGCTTTAAGAACACCCACAAGAAGCCACTGATCTGATCATTCCCAACTCACTGCAGCTGGAGCACCAGGCAGCCTCCTTCTGTGTGAGGATTTTGTTATTTTTAACATCTTGGCTTATTAAAAAGTTTTTTTATTTTTATTCTAATTTGTTATATGACAGCAGCATGCATGACAAGTCATAGCACACACACAGAGCACATTTCTTCATGTCTCTGGTTGTGCACAGAGTACAGTCGCACCATTTGTGTCTTCATATGTGTCCTAGGGGAGCGGTGTCCACCTCATTCCACGTCTTTTTTACACCCCTTGTTCCTCCCTTCTCTTCCCTCCCCTTTGCCGTCTCCTCCTTTACCCATTTTAAATCTGTCTTTTCTTACTAATGTTAATAGTTTTTAATGTATGATGTGTGGATCAAATATATGGTTTGCAAGAATCTACTCCTACTTTGTGGGTTACCCTTTCATTTTTTTGGTGGTGTCTTTTGAAACACAAAAGTTCTTAATTTTGAAGTTTAGTTTATCTGACATTTTTTGTTGTTGTTGTTATACTTTTGGTGTCATCTCCCCAAACCATCACCTAATCCAAATTCACAGATGTGTACCTGTTTTCTTTTGAGAGTTTTGTAGTTTGACTTTTACATTTCGATCTTTGATATGTTTTAATATTTTGTAGGAGTCTCAAGGTAGGAGTCCCAAGTTCATCCTCCCGCATTTAGCTGTCTCATCAGCAGTGATTGAAAAAGACTATTTTGCCCATTTGTAACCAAACATAGTAGATTACAAAGCCAGGAGGTAAACAGGTACGGAGGGCACTAGAGAGAACTCTCAAAGCAGCACCTCCCTGAGCAAAGAAAGCCCAGGGGCTGCTGTTTTTTGTTGTGGTACCAAGATTGAACCCAGGGGCACTTAACCTAGCTCCCTTTTGTATTTTATTAGAGACAGTCTCACTAAGTTGCTGAGGGCCTCACTAAGTGGCTGAGGCTGGCTTTGAACTCGCAATCCTCCTGCCTCAGCCTCCTGAGCCATTGGGATGACAGGCATGTGCCACCGCCCCTACTAGCAAGGGGCTTTTATTAGAAAGTCTCAGACCTGTTCACTATAGGAAAGACTTGTCATCACATGTCACACATGGGGGTGGCACATTGTCCTGAGCATGCTCAGTTCAAGGTCATGCTTCCTCATACATTACGTGTTCTAAGATTGGCTAAAGACCGCCTCCTGGGGGTGGGGGGAAGTTAGTATCATAATGAGCAAAGTTTACACTGTATCACCTAAAAAGGGTGCGCCAGCATGCCTGAGTGGTCTTGGCTGGTTCCTGGTTCTGGAGTGCCCCATCTAAAACAAAGTACTTAGAAGGTATGTTAACACTGAAAGGACCCTGACCCCCCCCACCACCACCACACACACACACACACACACACACACAGCCATACACACTCCTGTGGTGGTGGTTAGAAGTACTTGCCTAGTGGCTAACATGATGAATTGTCTTAGCACCTTTATCAAGAACCATTTGAGCCAGGCGCACACTTATGATCCCAGCAACTCAAGAGGCAAAGCTCAAGGATGACAGCCTCAGCAACTAGACCCTGTCTGGGAATGACAGAGGACTGGGGATGTGGCACACCCTTGGGTTAAATCCCCAGTGCCACTCCCCACTAAATGACTTGAACGTGTAAACATTCTGAGTTCTGTGTTCTTTTCCATTCGTCTTTGTCTTCATGGAAAGACTAGGGTTTTTTGTTTTGTGTGTTTTTTTTTTTTTTAGTTGTAAATTGACGATTGATAAGTTTGTGTTGGGGGTACAAGGTGATAGGTCTATGAGTCCAGTGTGGAATCATTAACATGCTCATCATTTCAAGGGCTTAGTTTTTATTGTGAGACTTCTTGAAAAAGGCTGAATAGTGTCAACGTGGTATTCATGCACCACAATTTCTTCATCTCTTGAACTGTTGATGGCCATCCTAACTTGGCTCTTATAGATAATGGTACACTAAGCATGGAAGTGCAGACGTGCCTTCCACCAAGTGGTTTCAAATCTTTGGATTAAATGCCCCAAAACAGAATTTCTGGATCCCACGTGGTTTTGGTTACTGTAGGTTTTGTATTACGTTTTAAAATGAAGTCGGAGTCTTCTAGCTTTGCTCCCCACCTGCCCACAACTATCTTGGCCATTCTGGGCTCCTTGTATTTGGAAATTGTATAAATTTTATGATCAGCTGATCAACTGATGCAAAACTCGTGGAGGGTGAACCTGGTGGCCCTTACTTGTGATCCCAGCTACTCGGGAGGCTGAGGCAGAGTTCAAGGCCAGCTGGGAAGGTGAGCAAGACCTGTCTCAAAAGGAAAAATTAAAAGAGCCAGGGACGTGGCACCGAGGTACAGCACTTTCCTAGCATCCATGAGCTCTGGGTTCAGTTCCCGGTACCAAAAAAATAAAGAAATAAAAGAGCATCCAGAATTTGGGTAGAGATTTCACTAAATTTGAGAGTCAGTCTGGGGAGTATGGCCACCTTAACAGTGTCTAATCTAATCCATGAGCACAAAGTTCTTTCCATTTATTTAAGTGATCTCTGATTTCCTTCAATGATGGATTATAATTTTCAGAGTACAGATCTTAGTTAGCCGTGTTCAGTGTATTCCTAAGTGTCTCATTCTTCTCTAGTCAGTGAGATTGTTACCTAATGTCACTTTCAGATCGTTCATCACTAATGTGACAATTAGCTGGATGTCTGTCTTGTACCCTGCGACCTTGCAACTCATTTGCCAGTTCTCAGTTTTTTGTTGTTGTTGGTGGTGGTGGTTGATTCTGTGAGGTTTCCTGTATATAAGGCCATTTAATCTGCAGACAGAGATAGTCTCCTTCTTCCTTCCAATCTAGATGCCCGCGTGCCCTGCCCTCCCTCTCCCTGTCTCCCTCCTTGACCTCTGGCCCCTGCAGTACAGGGCTGGTGGAGGTGGGGGAAATGGGCCTCCTGTGGTCTTCCCCATCTTAGGGGGAAAGTTTTCTTTTTTCTTTGTTTTTTGGTGGATGCCTGTTATCAAGATGAGAACTGTCTTTCTGTTGCTGGATTTTGTCATAATGCCTTTTCTGTCAATTGACATGATCATATGTGGCTTTTGTCCTTTATTGTTTAATATAGTGTATTAAACTGTTTGATTTTCATACGTTGAACTAGCTTCGCGTTCTTTGGAAGAACCCCACTTGTCCTGGTATGTTATCCTTCATATGCTACTGGATTTGGTTTGCTTTTTATATGTAACTTATTTATATTTTAGTTATAGGTGGACACAGTACCTTTATTTTTCTGTGGTGCTGAGGATGGAACCCAGGGCCTCAAGTATGCTAGGCGAGCGCTCTAGCCCTGAGCCCAGCCCAGCCCTAGTTTGCTTTCTTTTGTTGAGGATTTTTTATATTAATATTCATAAGGAATGTTGGTCTGTAGTTTTTTTGGTCTTTTTTCTTTCTTTCTTGTTATATCTTTGTGGGTTTTGGTATCAGGTAGTATTGGCCTCACAGAATGAATTAAGAAACAAACGTTCTCTCCCATGTTCTGGAGTTCTGTGAAGGTACTGCTTCATGATCTACTTTCAGCCAAGGAAAATAACGTCTTCCCACTTCAGGTACCAGGTGACCACTGAGCAGCTGGAGCCCCGCCTTTGGGCAGGTCCTGACTACATCCCAGACCCCGGTGCTCCTTCTGGGCTTTTCCAATCCTGTTCCACTGATCTCAGGCACTGATCCCTCCAGTTCTGGGTCCCTCTGGTCCATGGTCCCTGGCAGAGTCGTTAGGACCCTTTCTCTAGAAACAGTCACCTTAAGCCTTACCGGTGGCTCGAGGTGCAAACTTCCCAGGTCATATCCGAAAAGTTAGCTTGGTAGCTCTTGTAAGGTCGGGCAGAGCAAACCCCAACGCTTCTGTTTCTCCCGCACTCTCAGTGGCCTTGCGGCGGCCAGGTGGGCTTTCCAGGGCACTCTTGTGCGGTGGCTCAGTGCTGCCTTTGCCTCCTGCGCTGACACTTAGAGCTGCATGTTTGTCACAGCAAAAGCAAGAGGCACGGTGGTGGGGCCCCTGGGCGGCTTTCTGACCCCTTCTGATGTTGCCCACAGGTACCGCGTACACAGACCCATCGGCCGGAATCTCCAGGGATGACCAGCCCCTCCCCGCGCATCCAGATCATCTCCACCGACTCCGCGGTAGCCTCGCCTCAGCGCATTCAGGTACCCGGGTCCCTGCTGCCCCCCAGTCCTTCCAAACACAAAATCTGTAGGAAATCGCACCTCTAGGGCATCAAGTACACCACCCCCTCATTTATTTCAAAGACAAAAGAAGAAACGTTTCTGTTCACGGAACTGACCATTGTGGTGCTGGCCAGCTGTGAACCCAGGGCCGCCTCTGCCTGGGCAGGTGCTGTCCCGCCGAGCTGCCCTCCAGCCCTGCTTGACTTACTTCTAAGAACTCTGACCTGTTATTTCAACTACTCTGATAAAGAACCATTTTGTGACTCATTTGCTCCCAAATTGATGGGCATTGTGTTGGTCACGGGCTGCCCGCTTGTTTTCGGGAGCCCACTGTCGCTGTTGCTGTCTTGGGCAGTTAAATGTCAGAGATTCATGTTTTCCACTTGCAGCATGTGCGTGATATTGTGCCCGCCTCATAGGTCATGTAAGGGATCAACGGGACGCTGCTTATGAAGTGCTGAGAAGGGCCTGGCCCAGGTCAGTGTGCAGTGTGTACACCTCTGTATGATCCCTGTTATTACTGGTGTCATTGACCGCTAGTCACTTAAGCAGGGGCGGTGCTGAGCCTGCCCCTGGCCCACTGCACGGTTTCTTTACTCAGAAGGTAGGTATGTAGGCCCTAGCTGGGAGGAAGGGGCAACAGACCCTGACAGATAAAGATGCAATGTTATCACATCAGCCGAAGCAAAAGGCCAAATCCAAACGTGAGAACACAGATGAACAGCAGGAAGAACATGAGTTGCACAGCATGCACGTGAGAGATGCCAGGTGACGGGTACTTGGGAACCAGGGATTGCTGTCCTAGGTAGTGGAAGCTCACTGCAGGCAGACAGTGATGCAGAGTGACTGGGTAAATTCTACAGTCTGCCTGCTCTTAACCTGTTATAAACTACAAATGTTTCTAATAAGTAAGATGAAACGAGTTGTTAAATGCTGTTGTCTGTTGCATGATGTACTTACACACAGAAGCTGTCATTTGAACTTGAAAATGCAAGTTTGCAAGTCGGAAGGACCCTGACGGGGTGTTCGTCTTTGCCCAGGTTAGGGCTGACAGAGCCGTGTCGTTCTCCCTTTACTCTGTTCTTCTTTGCTGCTGATGAGAGTCCCTCCTGCGTGGGGACGGGTTGGGGTCTCACTGCAGGACTCTTCCTGACCCTGGCACAGAAGCTTGCTCTGCGCAGCTCACTGTTACTTTTTCAAATGGCAACTGTTTTCAGAAGGCGGGAAGCAGATAAGGGTGCAGAGAAGGACGGGGTGGCCACCCCAGGAGACCCGCGGTGTGTAGTGTCCGTCTCTAGACTGCAGCTCCCTCTGTATTATCTAAGGAGAACTTCCTGTTTTCCTAAGGGCGCCTCCAGCTCCCATCTTATCTGTAGAGTGAGGCTTTTCCCTGCTGGCGCCCAGCCCCTGGGGACGCCCTCAGGACCTCTCAACAGAAGTCTTGGGGGAGAGATCTTTGGTGCTGAGATTGCAGTTTCTAGGGAAGACAGTCCTTTGGTGTGAGTTTTATGTTTATTAACAGTGTCCCATTGGGAGCCACCATTGAAATCGGACCTGCTGAGCGCCACCACACTGGCTATGTGAAGTTTTCAAAGTAAAATAAAGGTTATTGGTTGGTTTCTGGATTCGCAAAGTTAGTGCTGAGGGTCCCACGCGGTTCTCACTGCCAGCTCGTGCCTTAGTGATCAACTTGCATTCCCTGAGGCCTGGGAAGAGAAGGGACGAGTTCTCTGATGTTGTCGTAACAGTTCCTAGACTCCAAATGGTGGCTTCTCTCACAAGGTGGGCAGGAAAGGATTTTTTGGTTTTTGTTTTTTAAAGGAAAACAGGCTACACAACAGGTCGGAGACGTGTCTGAGTGTGCAGAGACCGAGGGTCGAGTCACGTCTATCCCCAGCTGTGCCACTGGGGAAAGTGAGCTGACAGAGTTGTGCTGACAATGCTTACTCTGTAAGTTGGGAAGGGACTAGGTGACATAAGTAGGTAAGGTAAGGCCTGTGGAGCCCCAGGAAGCCAGCGCAGTGTGGATTTTTATGGTTTATTTGTACATAATTTCAAACTTACCAAAAATAATCCATACGAATTCACTGTGCCTGTCACTCGGGTTTGTGACTTATGTGCTGTCGCATTCTAAATATGAGCGTATTTATTTTTTTCTGGTTCCTTTGAGAACAGACTGGGGACATCACTCCTGTGCATTGGATCTAAGGACAGTGACATTCTTACATCATCACAATACAGTTAGCAAAATGAGAAAATACTAACACCGAAATGTGCCGTTATCTGTCAAACTCCAGATTCCCACATTTCATTCACTGATGGAGCTATTTTTCCAGGATTGATGTTATATTTTTAATAGAGAAAAAAGTAATAAAGATGTCATCAGCCCAAGGTCTGAACACGCTTAGTTATGCAGGATAGAAGAGGGTGGGGTGCGTGTGGCCGAGCCAGAGTCCATTTGCGCCACGTCCCTGTGGCGGCTCAGAAGGCCCTGAGGCAGTACGTGGGGCATCAGCCCCAGGTGTGCAGTCGAGGTGCTGTTGTTTCTGGGGACACTGAGGTGTAGGGCAGGAGCCATGGGAGGACATGGAGGACACGGCACACATGAGGTTCCAGTTTTATTATTTTATTCATGTTTTGGAAGCCATTAAAGTAAGTTAAAAGGACAGTGTGTGATACAGTGAATTTTACCTGCTGGAAATAATCAGTGCTCTCACTTCTGCCGACTCGTTCTGCCTGGGCAGACGCTGTGCAGCCCCTCCTGCCCTCTCTGTGGGTTTGGAGAGTTCCTTAAAAATTTAGCTCAGTAGGAGAGGGAGCGCACCCTTGGTTCGAAGTCTAGCACCCCAGAAAAAGAGAGGAAGGACAGTCGTATGCCTAACCCCGGTGACTCAGAGGCTGAAGCAGAACATTCACAAGTTTGAGGCCAGTCTCGGCAATGTAGTGAGAGCCTTCTGAAAAAGTTACAAAAGGTCTGGGCCCAGCTCAGTGCTGACGCACTCTGGGCTCAGTCCTGGGAGGGAGGGTGGCGTCTGGCATCTTCACACTCCAGGGTGAGGCTTCGTGGCTGTCCCATCAGCCCAGGTGACAGCACTGTTACTTCATGCTGTGCTCTTGGTCAGCTGCCCCGTGTCCCTCCCTCCTGCTGTCCCCAGCCCTGGTGCTGTGTCCTGCATATCCTGCTTGGAGCTGCTTGCTCTGTGCCCTTTCAGTCCCCAGCCATGTGCTGGTTCCTCTCTCGAGTGCTCAGAGGAGTTGTTGCACGTGTGTGCTGGAAGGGTGACAGAGACCCGTGTAACAGAGTCACACCAAAGTGGGCACAGAGTGAAAGCGGAGTGTCCCCCGCCTTCCTGGGGTTGCACAGCTGTATCCTGGGTTGGGGGGGCAGCTGCTGTTGGCATGTTGCCTTTCATTCCTTCAGTGTCAGTCTTGTCATATAAGTCCACAGGGACACGTGTGAATGCATATGTCGTGTTTTGACATGTCAACACTGTCTGACGTTGTTTTGCTCCTTAGTCTGTCTTCTTAAGTGTGGCTCGTCCTTGGAGATGGTTCTGTATGGTGCATACTAGACATCCTGTTTCTCTTTTTGAGTGGCTGCTTGATATTCCATTTTGCCACACCGCCCCCAAAGAAGGTGTCCCGGTTTGTACTCCCACCAACCCAGTGTGCACCACGCTGTAATTTTTAATCTTGTCGGTTTGCCAGATGAAATAATGTCATTGCTGTACAAATTTTGCACTTTGCTATTTACTCACATGTATATACATGTGCATGTACATATGTGTGTGTACATATGTAAAAATAAAGTTTCCCGGGTGTGGTGTTGTATACCTGTAATCCCAGCAATTTGGGAGACTGAGGCAGAAGGACCAGAAGTTTGAGGCCAGCCTCTACAATTTAGCAAGACCCTATCTCAAAATAAAAAATAGAAGGCGGGGCTAAGGATAAACCTCAGTGATGAAGCACCCTGGGTTTGATTTTTAAAAAAAAATAAATAAATAAAAGGAATTGTTAGTTTTTCGGTAACAAGTAGATGCTACTTAAGTCTCATGTCCCACCCTTCCACTGCCCCACCCTTCCACTGCCCCACCCCGCTGACTGTCCATCCAGTAGACTTTCTGTGTGACTTTGATTGTCATACTTAAGTGCACTTTATGAACCAACGGATAAATGCGTATTTAAAACAGGAGGTCTTTCTAGAACCACCCTCTGACATGACCCAGACCAGCCCGCTGGCCAAGTGCCTGCTTTAGGAGAAAGAGAAACCAGGTGGACATCAGAAAACGCGCAGGGACCATGTCTAAAACAGGAAGGGGCTGGGGCTGTGCAGTCGAGTACTCGTCCCGCATGTGTGAGGCCCTGGGTTCCATCCTCGGCACCGCATAAAAATAAAAAGGTACTGTGTCCACCTGCTACTAAAAATATATATATACACACACACACATTTTAAAAAAGGAAATAATCGAGGCCTGGCTTTCGCGGTGCTCTTCTTCTGTGTGGCTGTGAAATGTTGGAGTGTCCCTCTCCTCTGGCTTTCTTCCCGTGGAGCCCCGGGCTTTACCCGTCATTAAAGTTTCTCTTTAGACTTCTTCTTTGATCCGTGTTTTCTTCGGGAGGGTGGTGTTTTAATTTCTCGATACTTGGTGATCTTCCTGTTTCTGGAGTTGATTTCTGACGCTGACTCCTTGAGGTCTGAGAACATACTCTGTATGGTGCCCTGTCAAACTCTGTGTCTCGTGTCACAGTGTGGCCTCTGTGGACGGAGCTCCACTGGTGGAGGCCTGAGGAGGGTGGTGCTGTTAGATGGGTTGTTTTGTAAGTGTGGATCCCTTCGAGTTGACAGTGCTCTTCAGGTCAGGTGTTTGTGTGTTTATCGCCTCCTTGATGACAGGGAGGCAGTGCCGTCTCCAAGTAGAACTCATTTCCATCCCTCCTTGAGTTCGGTCATTTCTGTTACCCCTTACTTCTCTGTTTGTTGTGCTGGGAACCGAGCCCAGGGCCCTGTGCGGGCAGGGCGGGTACTGGACCGCCACGCTGGGCCCTGCTCTGAGTTCCTCGGTGTGTTGACCCAACCTCCCTGGTTAGGTGCACGCGTGTTGAAGACGGAGGCCTTTTTGAAGAATGGATCCCTTCCCCATTATAAAATGCCCCTTTTTATGCCTGATATTTCCCTTGTTCAAAATCGCAGTTACTTCCCCTTCCTTTTAATGAGCGTTCACATGGTACCTCTTTATTCCAGTCTGTGTTTTATATGTCAAATGTAAAGTTTATATATTTTACATGTATAGGTGGTGCTGTAGGCAGCACCTAGTTGGGTTTCTTCTCCCCACTGACGGTCTGCTTCAGTCGGCGTGTTAGATCACTCACACTTAGTGTTATTGATCTATGTGGATCACTATCATCCGACTCTGTTTTTTGTTAATTGCCAGAAGCTTCTCACTCTGCCTTCTCTGGTTTTGAATGAGCAATTCTCATGATTCCTCTTAGGTCCTTTTTCAGTTGACGTGATTTCGGTTGATATCCTGAGTTTATTATGTACATTTTTAATGAATCTTTGTTCACCTGCAAATAACAAACGATTTTCAGTAAAACTGACAAAAAGCTGACAAGGTTAAACCGAAATTCAGAGGCATTTAGTACCTCTGCACACACCCCACACCCCAGTTCCAGAACACTTCACTGTCCCTGTACTTGTTAAGTAGTCCCACCCTGTGGCCTGCGTTCTGTCTCTGTGCCTTGTTGGTTCTTGGAATCTCACATACATGGAAGATATGAGCCTTGTTTCTGGCCTCTTCCTCTTGTCCACCCATGTTGTGGGGTTTGTCTTTCTTGCTGTGTCACATCGGGTTGTACCTGAGTACCTTGGTCTGTTCGTCTTTGTAGTGTACCAGGCACTTTCACACACGACCATTTCCCTTCTCTAGACATTCTTTTTTTATGAAATTTATTATTTATTCTAATTTGTTGTACATGACAGCAGAACGCATTAGAGTTCACAGTACACAAATGGTTGTACACAAAGTACATTCACACCATTCGTGTCTTCATACATGTACATGGGGGTAATGACGTCCATCTCATTCCATCATCTTTCCTACCTCCTGCCCCCTCCCCTTCCCTTTGCCCAATCAAAGTCCCTCCATTCCTCCCATGCTCCCCACCCCCATTAGGGATCAGCTTCCACTTATCAGAGAACATTCGGCCTTTGGTTTTCTGGGATTGGCTTGCTCCACTTAGCCTTATCTTCTCCAACTCCATCCATTTACCTGCAAATGCCATGATTTTATTCTCTTCGAATGCCGAGTAATATTCCATTGTGTGTATACACCACAGTTTCTTGATCCATTCATCTGTTGAAGGCCATCTAGGTTGGTTCCACAGTGTAGCTGTTGTGGATTGTGCTGCTGTGAACACTGATGTGGCTGTGTCCCTGTAGTGTGCTGTTTTTAAGTCTTTGGGTGTAGACCAAGGAGTGGGAAGTCAAATGGTGGTTCCGTCGTTCTTTTCTATGAAGATGTAGAAACAGGCTGGTCAGCTCGTGCAGGCCGACACAGTTGGAGCAGTGGTGGAGCAAGAGTCTATTCCGCTGTCCGGCTGCAGAGCCCGTCCAAGGCCACACGCTCAGGTGTTGATGGGCCAGGCAGCAGGAGGAGGTGAGCAAGGCAAGGACTGGGCAAGCCGGCCCCATCTAAAGGGGTGGGCACTGCACCCGCTCCAGCCTGTGCCTGTGCCGAGGGGACACATGCCCAGGGTGGCCAGAGAACAGTGAACCTGGGTTTAAGAAGCCAAAAGTTACGCAGCAGCTAGTGGCCTGTTGGCCATCTCCTGGCAGACGCTTCCTCAGCTCATTTCTGTCATGAAGGACAGAGTGGGAAGTGTGGGGGACAATGACAGGGTGTCCGGTCACGCCAAGATCCTTTGGGGCTAGAGCTGGGATAGGCCTTGGCTTGGTAGAGAGGCCAGCTCTGTGGTAAGGTGGCATGTGTATCCCTAAAAGTCACCACACACTGCACAAAACTATGCAGTGAAAGCCACAAGACACAGGGGCAGGCCCAGGGTCAGTGGCACGAGCCTCACAGCGGGGAGTCTGGTAGAGCTGCAGGCGGGTCAGTGCCCAGCTGTGACAGACGCGGCCCTGGACCTGAGGAAGCCTGCGGAGCGCTGGCGCAGGGGGTGACAGAAGCGCATCTCATGGGTGACTGAGTGGGGTCGGAGGGGGACCTGAAGTCACGTGGACAGTTGCAGCGCTGGCTGGCTGGGTGTGACACACAGCCCTCCCCTGGGCTGCTGTTCCCAAGATCACCGAGGTGTGTGGCCTAGTGCTGCCCGTGGGAGGCACAGTGCGCAGACCAGCACAGGAGCTGTCACTCGGTCACACTCGAGAACTCGCCTTTCCCTGATGGTCTGGTTCTTTCCGTGCTGAGTGGCCGAGAGGTGGCGGGCCATACAAGTCACACAGAGAGCAGGACGTCCCTCAGGCCTCCCCGCCTGCCACTTGCTGCTCCATGTGAAGAAATGACAGGTGGCCTCCTGTGTCCTTCTCCCAGGGCTGCCATAGCAGGTCATCACAGACACGTGGCCTGCGCAGCACAACTGTGTTCTCCTCAGTTGTGGAGGCCGGCGGCGTGAAGCGAAGGTGTCGCAGGGCCACCCCTCTTGGGCTCCCTGCCCTCTGGCGTCTGGTGGCCAACAGCAGCCCCTGGCATCCCTGCCTGCTTACACCTGCACCATCCAGAGTCTCTGCCCCGTTGCCACGTGGCCTTCTTACAGGGACACTGGCTGGTGGATTCGGGGCCCCCTGTGACCTTACCTGTGCTCGGTTACGTCTGCAGAGGCCTTGTTTCCCAATAAGGTCACCGGTCCTGGGGGTTAGGTGGAGCGAGCTGAGGGGAGAGTGAGGTTCTGCTCACAGACGAGGGACGTGGCTGCACCCTCCCACCTGACGCTGACCCAGGCCTGGCCACAGGAGCGCACCTGCCCGTGTTGGGCCTGGTCTTTCTGTGCCTGGTGGTCAGCCTCGGGTTCCGGGGGGGTGCGGGGGTTATTTTTTCCGATGGCATCTTTAGTTCTTTTTCATGTAGGTCATCTCTCAAAATGGAGGCTGCAGGCGTCAGTGAGGTCAGACTGTGAGCAGGAGGTTTCAAAAGCTGTGGGTCTTGGATTTGCATGAGCCTGAGTCTTGTGAGGCAGGCAGAGGGGGGGAGAACTGTATGTGCAGCCACCAAACGCCACTGTGTCTGTGCAGACCAGTCACCCCTGTGTCCCAGCTCCCTTGGCTTCTTCCCGCCATCCTCTGCCACAAGGCCTGGGAAGGACCTGGAAGGAAGAGACACTCCCTACGTGTGCCGAGGGCAGCGCGTCGCCTCCAGACAGCAGGGCATGGGCACCACCCGCCTTCTCCGACTCTAGTCACCTGCTACAGGACATTTGGCCATAGTGGGCCACAGACACACTGGGGTCCCTTGAGATACCACCTAGCACTCTGGCCCCCTTAGTTCCTGTAAAGGGTACATGCTGTGATGTCAGCACCGTGTCCCTCGCATTTCTTAGGAGGCCTGGCTGCAGCTCGGCTCAGCCTCACGACTTGGTCTCTTAAGGAAGAAAGCAGTTCAGGGAGAGGGGAATGGAGGCAGGAGACGGAAGGCAGACATTGGACTTTGAGATCCCAGGGTGACAAAGACCTTCCAAGGCCGTCTTGTTGATCTAAGGAGGGTGCCTTCCGTGGGTGGCGTCTGGCCGCCATGTGCCAGCCTGTGCCCGTAGCCCCGGCTGAGCAGTGGGGAGGGGAGGATTAAAGGCTTCCCCCCATGAAGCTCTCTGCCACAGGTCACTTTCGCAGAAGGCCTGGCGGTGCCCTGGGTCGCAGCAGCCGAGGGTTCCCCTCCTTGTCTGGAGCTCTTCTCTTGAGCCCTGGAGAGCTTGTGACCCCGTGGCTGTCCCGGGCTGGCCCTCTGGTGGCGGTACCTGTCCCTGCACTTTCATTCCCGTTGCGCCCACAGCACACTTTCTGGAGAGGGCGTGTGGGTGACAGACGCCCCTGTTGGCCGGGCAGGTTACCTGAGGGGAGCAGGTGGCTGAGCCCAGCCTCCTCCAGGCCGACTTGCTACACCCCGCATAGCCCCTTGCTGCAGCCTGCGCCGCTGCCCCGGGGAGGTCCTTCCACTGAGGTCCCTGCCGCCTTCCCAGGGTCATTTCTTCTGCTTCTTAGTTCTCTGTGGCCTTCACCGTGGACTGCTGTCCTCAGTGCCCGTGGCCACGCTGTGTTCCCCTTTAGAGAGGTGGCTCCCTGCACACAGTGGCTTTCTGTAGCCTATGTGCCTGTGCTGCGTACCTAGGACAGTGCCCCACATCCCTCAGTGGACGTCTGTTAGTGGGAGGGTCTTTCCTTGGTTGTGTCATTTCAGTTGCATCCACCAACATCACTGGGTTGTCCGTGCGGACAGTTGGCACCGCTGTGCTCGGGCTGTGAGTTTGTGCTCTGGACCCTGGAGCGCTGTGTCCTGTCTGTCAGAGGTGGTGACGCAGGGCTCAGCCCATGCCCCTGCCACACCCTGGCAGTAGCAGCCCCGAGGCTCCAGTGTGGGGCAGCCCTGCTGGTCCCAGGATGGAGAGGAGCCCAGGGCTCCAAGCTGGGGACTCGCAGGCCCAGAGAGCAGCCAGTGTCGCCGAGCAGCCATCTTGTGGGTGCAGTAAGGTGAGGCCCCTGGAGGGTGTGGGTACTGGAGGCTGTGGCTCCTGAATGCTGGGAGCCTCCAGGAATCGGGGTCGGGATTTCTCGCGAGTCGGCGCCTGCGGCCCTCAGTCCACCCCAGGGTCCTGCCTTCTGTGCGTGTGTCAGGCCTCCGCTGGCCCCAGTCATACGGCAGGGAGTCAGATGGGTCCCTTGGCTTACAGAGCCCAGGAAGTGATTTATTCACAAATTTTTAGGTTTTTTGAATTAGCAACATTTTTCAAAAGAATCTGAGCTGCCCACATTTTATTATTCCTGGACCAGAATTTTTAGAATTGTGCGTCTTTATTTTACTTGCATACTTTATACTGATGTGGTGCTGAGGACCGAGCCCACGCGTGCTGAGCAGGCAGGCGCTCGGCCACCGAGTCCGGTCCTGGGCCAGGATTGTTTTTAAGGTGAAACTGTCATCCGTTATTTATTGTTGTCTTGACGTCGTTAAGAAATAGGCTTTTAATTCCAAAAATAACACTGAGGACCTGACCCTGGTGTACAGGGAGTTCCGTGCCAGTCCACATCTGGGAAGCCACCGCCCTGCCCCTCTGGTCCGCACCGCTGCATGAGGTGCTGACACATCGCCGGCTAGCATGCCCACAGGGACTCCGTTTGGCAGTCACCACTTCTGAGTGGCCCCCGCAAGTGCACGGGTCTCACGGCGCTCTGTGTTGTCTTCCAGATCGTGACAGACCAGCAGACAGGACAGAAGATCCAGATAGTCACCGCAGTGGACGCCTCGGGATCCTCCAAGCAGCAGTTCATCCTGACCAGCCCAGATGGAGCTGGGGCCGGGAAGGTGATCCTGGCTTCCCCCGAGACGTCCAGCGCCAAGCAGCTCATCTTCACCACCTCCGACAACCTCGTCCCCGGCAGGATCCAGGTAGGCCATCATCTGGGGATGCATGTCCCAGGACTTGTGTCACTGAACGGGTTTCTCACTTGTCCTCACCTCTGTCTGGGAAGTCAGATCGGCTCCGTGGAAGATCCCTTTGGGGACACACGCACAAGGCGGTTTGATGGTTTGGCTCGAGTAAAAAAAAAAAACAGCAGATAAGTGGCAAGGTCCAGAGAACAGCACTGACCCTCAGAAGTCGGTGGCACTGAGGCCGTGGAGAGGGTCGTTGTTCTTGGGGACAGCCCTGGGCCCTACGTTAAAGGCCCTCCTCGGACTGACCACCCCAGACAGCGACTTCTTGCTGTCCTCCTGCCTTGGCAGGTCGTCCGACCTGATCCGAGAGCCTCGCTCTGTTCTCTCTCGCTCCTGTGAGCTGTGGCTCAGGGCCCCAAGTGCCTGCCGCGTCTCTGCCCGGTCTGTCCCTGCTCTGGCCACGCAGGGTGGGTTGGGGCAAGAAGAGCGGCACCGAAGGGGGGCAGGGTCCTTGCTCAGCATGAGTTGGCAGCAGTGAATTCCCAAACCCCACACTCGGAACAGGCTGGAGGCCAGTGTCACACGATCGCCTAGCACAGGTGTGATCACTCAGGGTCATGGTGAAACTCATATTTGTTTTGAATTTTTAAAATATTTTTGGTTTCCTACTTCCACTTCTAGGTGCTCGGTAGCATTAAATTAACTGAGCTCACGTTGTTTTGACACCGTCCATCTCTGTCCCTTCCTTTTATTTCTTTGGTTCTGGGAATTGAACCCAGGGGTGCCTAACCCCTTAGCCACACCCCAGCCTTTTCTGTGTTTTATTGTGGGGGAGGGTCTTAGTAGTTGCTGCCCTTGAACTTATGTTCCTCAGCCTCCAAGTCCCTGGGACTGCAGATGTGGGCCACGGGGCCCTGCTGTCACTCTTTACCTTCCCAAACTGAAGCTGTGCCCATTAGGAACTGTACATAGATGCCCAAGATGAAGAAATTTCAAGTCACTGTTCTCTGTCCACTGGGCAGTCACGTCCCCATGTCCCCTCCAGCCTCTGGCAGCCCCCACTCTAGTTTCCAGCTGTTTTGAGTTGGGGGGACTCTAGAGTCCCGCCTCCTGGAAGTGGAGTCGTGCATTCTCTGTCCCTGTGCCTGGCTCGTGTCACTTAGCGAACTCTCTTCCTTATTTATCAAGGCTGAACAGGGTCCCTGTGTGTCCACACTGCAAGGAGCTTGTCTTCCCGTCTGTTGGTGGACACGTGCATTGGTTCCTCCCTTCGGTTATTAAAAGTAAAGTGAGGATTCATGCATTTGTGGGACGGGGGCTTTGTACTGTGGAGAGAGAAACTGAGGGAAGGAAGGATTGGTTTTTCTCTGACGAGCTTCAGAACATCGATGTAGGAAAAAAATCTATTTTTGAGACGGCTTGTACCGCGGTTTGTACATACCATCTCATCCTTCCTGTCCCAGAAGCCAGAATCCTGCCCTGTCTGTGAGAACACCCCTCGTTGGTGACAGGCAGACTCTGATCTTGTTGCTTGTTTCCCAAGAGGTGACTCTATGTAGTGACCTCCGAGTGTGGTCCCTGTCATGCGTAAATCATCCAAGGCGGCTCCTTAGCCCAGACACGGCTGCTTTTCACATTCCCAGAGTGAGGATGAGTCCGTGTTCTTCGAGGTGGATAGCACCTAGAGTGTCACCTAGAAAAGTCCCTCTAAACGAGGGGCAGCCGGCAGGTTCCAGGGCTCACGTGATCTGCCTGGGTGAGAGGCCTCGTTATTTCATTGATAACGCCCTTCCCTCTGACTCACGTGCCCCTTCACACTCTGGGGTGGCTTCATGGGATCAGAGGAGCACCTGGAAGAACCTAGAATACCTTCGTCTTGGAGCATTCCTTAATCTACTACTCTATCTGCACAGTGTCTCCTCTCCTGGTCCCCTGGCTCCGTGATGGTAGCCGGAGAGAAGAGTGGTCACGGAGGGCCACTGCGGAGGGTGCGGGTGAGCGGGCAGCAGGGCTGGGATTCTCCAAGTTCCCAGCTCCACGTGACTTGGCCTGGACACTGGGCTCGTGGTCACTGTTGGCTGATTCCTCCTAGATCGTCACGGATTCTGCTTCTGTGGAGCGCTTGCTGGGGAAGGCGGACGTCCAGCGGCCCCAGGTGGTGGAGTACTGTGTGGTCTGTGGCGACAAAGCCTCTGGTACGTGACCCGGGTTCTGCTGATGCAGGTCGTGGGCCAGCAGCAAGGGCCGCCGTCATGGGTGGGGCAGTGGTTAACTCAGAAAGAACATTCTCTGTAAGTTTGTAGGTTTCAAAAGTGGGCTGCAGTTTTCTTATTGGGGGGGTGATGTAAGTTTCTCAGATCAACAGGAAAAGTCAAAACTACTTTTTGGACAAGGTGCGGTGGCACACGCCTGTAATCCCGGTGGCTCGGGAGGCTGAGGCAAGAGGATCGTAGGTTCAAGGCCGACCTCGGCAACTTGGCGAGGCCCTAAGTAACTTAGCGATGCCCTGTCTCAATAATAAGGGCTGGGGTGCTGCTCAGTAATGAGGAGCCCCTGGGTTCAATCCCAGTGTCAAGAAAAAGAAGTTATTTCTTGACCGTTCCCAGTAGCTAGGAACAGGGAGGCACTGTTGAGGGGACAGTCCCCTGGGGATCTCCGTCAGGGTCTACCATTACGTGCTCCTAAGAAAGGAATCATCTCTTTAATCTGGCTTATCCTCTGCACAGTGCCTTGAGGTCCCCAGACTGTCACCCCTGCAGTCCCCTCGGCACCCGGGGTGGTAAGTTATCCTAGCTGTAAAAGGGTCAGGAAGTACGGGGTCCTGACGAGCCGTCCCACGGGAGCCTTGGTGGCCGAGTTCGTGTGCTGGGTAGAGGAGGGGGAGGGCCGCCAGCTGCAGAGCTAGTCCAGGGGACGGTGCCCACACCCAGGCGCCCTCTGTGCTGAGGGCGGGGTGCAGGCAGACAGGTGGCCCAGAAGGTCAGCCCTGGGGGCACAGAGGGTCATGAGGCGGGCAGTAGTGACGGGAGGCTTGAGTTCTTGGGCAGCCTGGTTCCACTTTATTCTGTGGCAGCCGAATTCCTAGGAGCTCTGGACACCATGTCCTGTTTGTTTAAAGAGGGGGGTGGAGCAGGCCTGGAGGAAGGCGGCCCCAGGAGCATCTGCAGGACAGCAGCCCATCCCGGCCCCTTCTCAGAAGCCCTCGCCTGCCCTGGCAGCAGGGCCACGGGGCTGCCTCTGATCCTGATGGCCCTTTCGTGCCCACTCTCCACCCTGCTGTCGCGTTGTCTTGTAGCTCCTGGTCCCCAGGCCCGTCTTCCCATGGGAGTGTCCTGCGCTCCGCCCTTCCCGGCTGCCTAGTTCCCATCTTCCTGCACAGCAGGGACAGGACACAGGAGGGCCCTAGGTGTCCGGCCTCCTCTGAGCACAGAGGGCCCTCGTCTCCAGGTCCTAGAGTCACAGAGACGTGGGGGGGTGGCTGAAGGACATGCACGGTGAGGAGGAGCCGTGAGCAGAGGTGACCGCGGCTCAGCTGCTCTTCAGAGCAGAACCACAGGCTGGGACGTGGCGCGTGGCAGAGCCCTGGCCTCCCTTGTGCAGGGCCCTGGGCTCGTCCTCGGGGCTGGGGGTGGAAACAGTGGAGGCTGCGCAGCTACACGTGTGGGAAACGGGCCACGCCTAGCGCTCAGCCCGCGGGATCCTCTGTGGCCACCGTAAATGATCGTCCTGTAAATGTGCCCTCCTTGGCGATGTCCCTGAAATTGGGTCACCTAAACCAGGCAGAACCAAGGCATCCACGGGACAGATGAGGGGTGATGTGGTCATAGGCTAGAGACGCTGAAAACAAAGTGTGTACTAAGTGTGTTTCCCAGGACTGTGATCCTGGAGGGGACCAAGTAGCTGACTCAAGTGACCCCGTGGCCACCTTCTGATAGGGTCAGGTGTTAGGGGTGCCTGGGAAATCTCGCTTGTGAAGTGCTGTGGGCATCGGGAGGTCGGGCTCTGAGGGCCTTGCCCAGGCAGGGCCAGTGACCCGGGTCCCCTGGGGGAGCTGAGTACAGGGGGGGCTATGGCTGCAGGGTAGGGCAGGGGGCCTTCTGTCCCTGGAGAGCCGGGCCTCTGCTTCCGGGCGTCCTGTCCTGAGCTGCCTCCCCCCACATCCCCCTCCCTGCTGCTCCGCCTCCCCAGGCCCAGGGCAGTGGTGTCTGCCACTTGGACCACTGAACTGTCAGCCCCCAAAGGGATTCTCCCTCTCCTCTAAAGTTGGCGTGGGGCCCTTGGAGATGCTGAAATGGTGGCGCTGACCACACGCCTTCCCTCACCTCAGGCCGGGCGGTGGCCACTCTGCTTCCCGGGGCCTTCAAGGCCCTGCAGGTGAACAAGGGCAGGAGTGAGACCCTGGCCCTGAAGCAGCTCATGCCGCTCCTCGTGTCTCCTGTGTCCAGCACAGGACAAAGCCGGGGAGCCAAGCCACCCAGGTCTGCAGGCTGGGGACAGGCGCGCCCAGGGCCCAGTGGAGTTCCGGCAGCGCGGGAGGTCCCTGCTGTGCCCGGAGCACCTGCCCACCATCCGTGCCCTGTGCATCTCCGGCTTCTCCACCACGGCCTGTGCGGCTGCTGGGAAGACCGCGGGGGCTCCTGGGAGGGACGCGGCCTGGCCTCCTGCTCGGGGCCCCCTGTCCCAGGCCCTGGTGGATGCCCTCTGCAGCCCAGGCTGCGGCCACCACCGCTGACTTGTCCTTGCAGGCCGTCACTATGGGGCCGTCAGCTGCGAGGGCTGCAAAGGTTTCTTCAAGAGGAGCGTGAGGAAGAGCCTGACCTACAGCTGCCGCAGCAGCCAGGACTGCGTCATCAACAAGCACCACCGCAACCGCTGCCAGTTCTGCCGCCTCAAGAAGTGCCTGGAGATGGGCATGAAGATGGAATGTGAGCGGGCGCCCGGGGGAGGGCAGGGCCGGGCACACAGCACACGTGCCTTAAGAAGAAACCCCGCTTGGGCTGCACCCGGTTCACTGCGTGGGTCAGCTGGTGACTTAGAGCCAGCGCCCCAGGACCTGGTCAGTCCCCGTGGCGCCCGTGAGCCCTGCTCCAGAGGAGTCGGGAGCAGGACGGTGCAGTGGGGCCAACACCAGCTGTGGAACAAACTGCCACGTGGCCTCTGGTAGCCCCAGGGTCCCCTCTGAGAGCCAGAAGCCCGCGTCTTGCTGATGCACCCTCCTGCTGTTCCCATAGCCCTGGGCCAGGCCTCCTGCCCAGCCATGGCGCATTGGGGCGCCCCCCCCCCCCCACTCTGCTCCTGGGACCAGAAATGGGGGTTAGGAATTCCAGGAACAGGCCCTGGTCCCCAGGCAGTGAAAACCAGGACGACGAGGACCTAAAGCAGGCAGCAGAGAGACCCCAGGGACGTGGTGTTAGGCTCTGAGACCTCCCTTCCCATCCGGGGAACGGGGACAGCAGGTGCAGGTGACACTCAACCTGGCCCGGGTGCTGCGTGATCCTGGGGGCAGCAGGGCTCCTGGGAAGGGGGCAGTAGCACTTTTCAGTGTAGCCGTTTCTGTTTCTACAGGGGAAATGGCAGACGTCACTGGGGACAAGTAGGAAAGTGTTTTCCAGAAAGTCAGAATCGTCAGCCTGGGTTCTGTAGAGTGGTGTTTTTATTTTGCCCATGACGGGGTCCTTCCCCACGGCAGACGGCACCACTCCATTGCCAAGTGACCTTCCTTCCTCAGTAGCAGATGCCATCCCTCAGGACAATGGCAGAAATTATTTTTTGCCATCTCAGCTGTAACTGTGAAGTCAGGATCCAGCTGAAACCAAAATAAAACTAAATTAAAAAATATCAAGAAAGGAAAATTAAAAAGAGGAAGGAAAAGTAGAAGATCCAGCTGGATTGTCTGGTCAGCAGGACGTCTGGACCCTAGTATCTGGGTTTCAGATCTTTTGACCTTGGTTTGCTTGTGGCCCATGTCCCTGTGCTCTGTTACTAGAGAGCTGAAGGGAGAAGTGACAGTGGGATGGAAAAGTGGCAGCCACCAAACAGGAGGCTAGGGCTGTTCAGGCTGGATCTGGAAACTAGGATGGTTCCAGTGTCTTTGGCTTGGGACCGTTCCCCTACCCAGGGCAGCTTGAAGATGGGCATTTCTCGTCCTTGGGAAGAGCCAGTTCACTAGCAGCAACATGTGCTGCTCATAGACCTCGAGGCTGCAGGTCCAGGAGGCGCCCAGGTCACCTGTGTGCTGTTGCCGCGGCCCCTGTCCTCTGGAGCTCTGTGTGTGCCTCTGATGTGACGGGGCATCGTGGGGCCTCGCTGCCTCCCCTCCTTGGGCGGGGAGTCCACTGTGGAGACTGAGCTCCTCACCCCTACAGCGGGGGGTTCCTGAGGGAGCCCCAGGGCGTGCCGTGTGGTGACGTGGCGTGCTGTGCTTTAAGCTGTGCAGAGTGAGCGGAAGCCCTTCGACGTGCAGCGGGAGAAACCAAGCAATTGTGCTGCTTCCACGGAGAAAATCTATATCCGGAAAGACCTGCGAAGTCCTCTGATAGCCACTCCCACGTTTGTGGCAGATAAAGATGGAGCCAGGTCAGTGCCCTGTTCTCCAAGGGCGGCCCGGGTAGGCAGCTGGGCATGTCCCGTTGCCGCGGCTCGGTCACCCCCAGAGCAGTCCTGGGGGTGCCTGGCTCAGGGTGGGTCCTTCTCCTGTCTCAGGGCTCCGTATGTCCTGCAGTGTAGGCCTCACTCGGTCAGGAGGACAGGTGTTGGTAACTCAGGATTTGGACTTTAGCAGTATAAACAGGAGGTCCCAGAGGGTGCCACAGGTTATTTGTACTTTCTTTTGAATGCAGCTTATTGACCTGGTTTTAAGGGTCAGAGAGGAGGAGAATGATGCCCAGGACATAGCACAGAGAGAGCGGGAGGGGCCCCGGTGGCTGCGCACAGCTCAGCCCGCAGTCAGTGCGCAGTGTGGGCGCCTCCGTGTCCAGCCCACCGCAAGCTCACGGGGGGCTTCATGCACGTTTCCGCCGGGAGGAGGCTGTCCCCTGGGCGCTGGGTCTCCGCAGAGCATGCGTGCAGGAGGGCAGGGAGTGTGCCAGCGTGCTGGAAGCTACTGTGGGTTTCTTTGTCTTAAATAGACAGACGGGTCTTCTGGATCCAGGGATGCTCGTCAACATCCAGCAGCCGCTGATACGCGAGGACGGCACGGTGCTCCTGGCCACGGATTCCAAGGTGACGTTCTCCCCCTCTGTTCCCTGTCCTCTGTACTGGCAGCAGGCTGTCTCCCTGTGCCCTGCTCCTCCTTGGCCCTCAGAGACCTTGCTGATGGCTTCTAGAACTCCTTCAGGGCTGCGGTCGTGCCACGGTGGAGTTCAGGCTGCAGTCTCTGGGGACATTCCCCTGGTTCTGTTCTCCACTAAGTCAGACACACAGTCCAGCACCAGCTTCCTGAGGGGACAGCTGCTGGGCTTGCGAAGGTTTCTGCAGGACCCGTTAGTTCTACCAGTCGCTCTGTAGGAGGAGGTCCAGCCGGGAGGTTCACCAGGGCAGGTCAGCCGCGGAGGATCCAGTGGGGACACAGGTGTTGGCCACTCCCAGAGCTGGCTCTTCCTGTGCCGACGACCAGAGCGTGGGGCTGGGTCCAGGCAGGGGGCCATCACGTCCTTCCTGGCGTGAGCCCAGTAATAAGGAAGTAGCAGCAAGGCACACGCTAGAGGGGTGACCCGGGGCCACTTGGGAGTGTTGACATTGCTGCCACCCTCGGCTCCTTCACGTGTACATTCGCGTGACACCCAGAAAATCGGGGCACGTCCTCTTTTGGAAAGAGAAGGCAAACTTGAGAGCTCCTGGCTGGCCCAGGGCGCAGCCTGTCCCCTCTGGTCCTCAGGCTGGGCTTTGGGCCCCCTGACCGGGAGCCGTGGCTGTGTGCTTGATGGGAGCTGATGGGCCACCACTGTCCCCCAGCATGTGTTCTGGAGAGTGGCTGTCACTGCAGAGCAGAGGCCAGGAACACTAGCCGGAACATGGGGCTCTAGGCCACCAGGGCTTCCCAGCAGTGTCCGCCCACAGCCTGGCTCCGAGCCCAGCCCTGCGCTTCGTGTGTCCTTCAGGGCCGACTGCCCGGGGCTGGTGGGCACCTGGAGCAAGGGAGCCCCAGAGCCCTCGGCACACGGCGAGCTCTTGGCGGGGGGGACATGGGACTTTGTCGATAACTGGAAAGGCTCGCGGTGTTGATGTGGTTAGGAGACGGGGCTTCAGGGTCGGCTTGCGCCCTGCCCTGTTCCTTCCTAGGTGACATGGAACAGCAGGACCCCCCTCCCCCCAGTTCTTAGTAAGGAGACAGAGCGCCCCGAGCAGCTGCTCTCAGAAGGGTCCATTTTTACATTGAAATCATGATGCATTTAAGGTGATCCACGCAGCCTGCGGAGGAGGGTCACGAACCTGAGGCCAACCTCAGCCACTTCCAGAGGCCCCAAGGACTTAGCGAGACCCTGTCTCAAACACAGAAGGACTGGGACCGCTGGGTTCAAACCCCGGTACCCAAACCAATCTGCTTTAAATAAGAACGGTCCTCCTGACTGTGACTGATGTGACAACCAGGACACTGAGTACAGAGCGTGTGTCACGTTGTTTCCCCCAGCTCTTGCTGACACCTCACTTCCCTCCAGCACACTCCACTGTCCCCAGGCCCCGCCCCTCAAGCAGCTGCACCAGCTCTGCTGTGACTTGTCACCTGCAGTCAGAATGTGTTTTGTTTTTGAAATGGAGACACAGGTGGCTGTGTAGACGCGTCCTGGCTGTTTGTCTCTGGCTTCCCTTTTAACTGGAGGGGGATCACGGGCCATACGGTCAAGGGGCCTCGCCATCAGTACCACTGACTACAGAGGATCTCCCAGAAGGGACTGCCAATGTCCCTCCCTCCAAACCTGCCTCCCACTCCCTGGTGTCAGTTCTGTGCCTTCCACATCCAGGGCCTCTACAGGTGCCCCCTCCCAGCTGGCTCCTGTCCCTCAGCACAGTGTCCACAGGCCCCATCCAGGGTGCAGCCTGTCCCAGAGATTGAGTCCTCATTGTCGTAGTGGGGAAGGGGTCAAAAGCCGAGCGAGGTCCTCCACGGGACGTGGGCTCTGTTTTGACTGTGAATTGCCTGGGTCCCCACAGTGCCACCAGCAGCATCCATGGGCTTGGATTTCCCACATCTTTGTCAGCACGTCCCTATCTTTTGGGGTCACAGCCCTCTGCATCTTGACACGTGCTTGTGGGCCGTCTGTCTGGAGAGATGCTGTCCCAAATTCCATGTCCACTTTTGCATTGGGTCGCCTTTGACTGTTGCGTTCCAAAAGGTCCCTGGCTGTCCTGGTGCTGTCCTGTGCCTGTGTGTGACCTGCAGTCTTCACGGGGTCTTGGTATTTGGTGGGTTCCCTGGTTTTTTCTGCTCTGTCTGTGAAGCACCCCAGTGTTGATGAGTGGCGGCCAGTGGGTCTGTTTTTCCTCAGTGCCTCACTGTCATGGCACCTGGGGACTTGTGTGACCACTATCACAACCAAGATTCAGAAAGCTACTCTGTCACCAGAAGGATGCCCTGGTGCCACCCATTTGTTCACAAGAACAAATTTTGAGTCCTGAGTCGGCGCCACCTCCACCGGCCTGAGTCCTGTGCGTATGTGCTCGTGTTTAATGTCACGTTTTTTTGTTCAATAGGCCGAGACGAGCCAGGGAGCTCTGGGCACCCTTGCAAACGTAGTGACCTCCCTTGCCAACCTGAGCGAGTCCCTGAACAATGGCGACACTTCAGAGATCCAGCCGGAGGACCAGTCTGCCAGCGAGATCACTCGGTACGTGGCCACGGGGGAGGACCACACAGTCCCGGTGCTGGGAGGGCGGAGGTGGCCTTTGGCATCCATCCTGCCTTCAGTCGAGGGCTACGGCATGGTCACAGTGACACTGCATGTCTGTGCTCTCAGGTTTTCAACTGAGAATGTTGTCCCCTTTATTCTATGATATGGGTCAAAATTGCGCGACCCGGGAGGCGGGAGGGGACGTGGCAGTGGCCTGATGTCAATCCTGTTTAGTGTCCCAAACAGCAGCAGCTCACCCTGTTCCACCTCTGGGCTGGGGAGCGGGGGGCTCTGGCCCGCAGTGAGGATAGCAGGAGCTGACGGGCGGTGCCGACTGGCTGCTCAGCACTGGCCTGTGCCCTGGTGTCGGCCAGCCAGGTGACGGGGGCTCGGCCCTCGTGTTCCCTTCCAGCCTAAGGACGAAGTGAAGGTCTGGGTCAGGGCCAGGAGGGTGGTGTCCAGTCGGGTAGAATCCTGCGTCCACTGCTGACTGTGGGTGGCCGTGGAAAAGCCACCGGCATTAGATCTGTAACCAGGGGAACATTCCTGCCTTGGGAGGGTGACCGTGGAACACAGAAGTCATACTGGAAATCGCAGCCCACTGCGTGGATGCTGGCGGTGTTCCAGACCTCCCGTGGCCCGCCTCTGCAGGGGGACAGCACCTCTTCCTCGAGGCCTTGCTGTTGTGGACGTTGACTCAGTGGAGCTGCGGGGTCACGACCTGCTTGGTTTCCGCTCACAGGGCGTTTGACACCTTAGCTAAAGCACTTAACACGGCGGACAGCGCCTCGCCCCCCGGCCTGGCGGACGGCGTGGACACCAGCGGAGGGGGCAGCATCCACGTCATCAGCAGAGACCAGTCGACGCCCATCATCGAGGTCGAGGGCCCCCTCCTTTCAGACACACACGTCACCTTTAAGGTGAGTGATGTGGGCCCGGCCCTGCCAGCCGCCCGGCCTGCTAGGGGTCTGAACTCTTCTGGGAGCTGGTCCCCGTCCCCACCCCCGGGGTGTGGCAGGGTGGCTTGAGCAGATCTTGAGTCCAGAGCAGTCTTCCCTGTCTTGCTCACAGTGCCACTCGATTGTGCAGGGACCCGGCAACAGGCCTGGCCTGTCTTTGCCAAGGCGGGCAGTCTCCAAGGGTGGTGGCCGTGTGCTCTGCCTCTGCTCCCCGCACAGCCCAGCCGTGGGCACCTCCGTGCAGTGGAGCCCTTGGGGTCAGGTGGCAGCCACTGTCCTCCAGAAACAGGTGGATGGTAACCGTACCCGGGGCTGTGAGTGCCCCCTAGAGGGCCTCCCAGGACCCCTGAAGCCCCTGTAGAGAGGCCTCAGAACAGGGCTCTGTCCCCTGCTGCCTTCACTAGAGAGATGACCGGGTCCCTGCTGCTGGGTGCCCTGAGGCAGGTCAGCACGTTGGCCCTACTTTCTGGTGGACGTGTCACCATCCTGGTACCAGGGCCACCTGCACCATGCCTGTCGGCCATGGAGCTGGTCCTGGGGCCCCGGTTCCACTTGGACCTGAACCTGTGGCCCAGTGAGTGCAGCAGACGGTCGCTGCACTGGGGCAGTGATAGAGCAGTGCACTGTCCCCTGGGCGAGCCGAGACGTCCCCCAGGGCTCCCAACTGTGTGCCCAGGACCCTGCTTCACTGAGAGCTGGGGCCATCCCACTGCGACACATGGGCTCTTCTGACTCAGGGACCCCGGCCGACACTGCTGGTGGAACAGGACGGAGACCTGCTGCTCACCTCCGTCCCTTGCTCACCTCTCCGTCCTCTGTTGCAGCTGACCATGCCCAGCCCGATGCCCGAGTACCTCAACGTGCACTACATCTGCGAGTCCGCCTCCCGCCTGCTCTTCCTCTCCATGCACTGGGCCCGCTCCATCCCCGCCTTCCAGGCCCTCGGGTGAGTGGCCCTTTTCCACACGCCCTGATCTGGGTGCGTCACCGGGCAGCGCACCCCAGACCTCCACGGAGCCTCCACGAGCCAAGGGCGTGGCACCAGGAGCTGTGGTCAGGCCCTTGAGACCATGCGACTGCCTGTGTCCCCACACGGGCGTTTATTCCTGGAGTGGCAGTGACCTGGTTTCCTGTGGGAGGTTTTTAAAATATGGGGTTCAAAAGTGACATCCCTGCTGCCATGGACGTGGACCCTCCTCAGAGGGCTACGCAAAATGTCACCGTCTTACACTGGTGTCCCTTGGGTTTCGCATACTCGTCAGGCTCCGAGCTCAGAGCGACAGTGATGACAGGAGGTTTGTACTGAGCCGTGGGGACACTCGGCGCAGGGGGCCTTTCTGAGGCAAATGCAGGCCCAGCCTTTGTGGGGACAGCAATTTCCCTGGCCTCAGATTTTTTTTTTAATTTTTTTTTGATGGTGCTGGGCACTGAGCCCAGGGCCTTGTGCGTGGGAGGCAAGCACTCGGCCTCCTGGGCTCTGTCCCCAGCCCACGGCCTCAGAAACCTTGAGGCAGAAGAGGCAGCGCCCCAGCCCCACTGGGCTGTGGCTCCTGAGCACCAAGACGGCAGCTGTGCAGGGCTGACCGTGCCCCTCAGGTGGGCAGAGCAGAGCAGCGCTGCAGGTGGCCCAGCTGGGCCCCTCCCACCTGCATGCGGGTGGGTGCACTTTTCCCCTTCAGGTGGACGCTCAGCTCCTGTCTTGATCCACACGGTCACTCGTGACCTTCACTATAGGTGCCGAGTCACGGGTCCCCCCCCGCCAGGACAGAGCCAGGCCAGGACAGCTGACGGTCCAGCAGACTTGGGGAAGGAGGCTTTGGCCTCCCTGCTGAGGGCGGTGGTTAAGGGAGAAGAAGCTTTTTAAAGAACACAGCAGGGGACCGGCACCGTAGTGTGCACCTGTGACCCGAGCCACTCGGGTGGCTGAGTCAGGAGAACCACAAGTTTGAGACCAGCCTCAGCCACCGAGGCCCTGTCTCAGAGTCGCACACAAAAAGGGCTGGGGCTGGAGCAGCCCTGAGCTCAGTCCAACAGCAGAAGGGCAGCTCCCTGCTGGGGGGGGGGGGTTAAGCCTTGTGCCCGGTACTAGGCAGCAGCCGGGCTCCCGTGCAGCCCGCTGAGCCGCCCCCCGCCCCCAGGCAGGACTGCAACACGAGCCTGGTGCGGGCCTGCTGGAACGAGCTCTTCACCCTGGGCCTGGCCCAGTGCGCCCAGGTCATGAGCCTCTCCACCATCCTGGCCGCCATCGTCAACCACCTGCAGAACAGCATCCAGGAAGGTAGGGCCTGGGGACCAGGGAGGAGGGCGATCTGGCCTATGCACAGCCTCTCGTCCCGCCACACCATGGAGGGGGGGCACGTGACTTCAAAGTAGTGGGACCACACTAGTCAGAGCGTCTGGAACGGCCTCTTCATGTAAGGAGTGACCTCCATTGTGAAGGCCACATGCTCTTCAGCATTTAGTGATCTTTTTCAAGAACAGCTGGAGCTTACCTCGCCACCGTCCCTGGGTTGTCGTCCTTCCATGTGACATTCTCCAGGCCCGTCCTCGGGACTGTGACCTGTGTGGAAACTGAGACCCTACTGAGGCCACAGCTGGCTCCAATGAAACAAGTTCGAGGGACACCCCCCCCCCCCCAGTCTCCTTGCTGTCATTGCTGGACACGGCCAGGTTCTCCCCGGGCCATATGCCCAGAGCACAGTGAGGACCAGCATGCGGAAGGGGAGTGTCCAGGGCTTCGCGTGAGCGCCCCGAGACCCTCTCCGTAAAGCGAGGCTCCTCCTGGGACGTCCCAGGTGTCTGAGTCCTGGGACGCGAGCCACCTGGCCAGGCGTACGGGAGGGTGAGGTGGAGAAACAGCCTCTCGATTAAGTAAGGTCTGCTCCCAGGAGCTGCAGTTTTATTTTCCAAATAAACCAAGGAGAACCGCGACACCTGCTGTAGAGCGCTGCAGGGTCACACTGTCCCGACGGCTGTCCATGTCCCGTTGAGGAGTCGGGCCAGCGGAGTTGGGAACCTGACCCCAACAGGACTCGGGCAGAGTTGAAGGAGCTCCCCGGTGGCACCATAGGCCAGGGAGCTGCCTCTCGGGTGGGCCCCAGCCTGGGGCCTTGTTTCTGAGGCCGGGTGACACCGCAGTGGAGCTTGGGTGCCCGCGATCACTTCCCCCGTGCTGGGAGCAGCCTGAGGTGCTGAGCGGAGCCCCCTGCCGTCCCCGCGGTGGCCATCTCCTCAGGGCCTGTGGTCTGCTTGCAGACAAGCTGTCGGGCGAGCGCATCAAGCAGGTCATGGAGCACATCTGGAAGCTGCAGGAGTTCTGCAACGGCATGGCGCGGCTCGAGGTGGACGGCTATGAGTACGCATACCTTAAAGCTATAGTTCTCTTTAGCCCCGGTAAGATATGCGCTGGGGACCCGGGACGCCTTCCCTGTGCCCACTGATATTTCTGCCCATGATCGTGTTGTCATCAGCGCTGTAGCCTGCCCTGCCACTCTGTGTATCACCTGGTGTCCCCCGACAGCCACTTGACTGGCTCCCGCACATGCGGACATTCTGTTAGTCCTGGGCTTTTACAGCTCCCGAGAAACGTGCCACCATGTCTGGGGACATAGGGTACAGATGACAGCTATTCAATACCCAATTTAGACCCCTGGCCACACAGACGCTGGGCCTCACCAGGTGCTCCCTGCACTCTTTCTGGTCACCTGGGCTCGGTGCCAGCCAACCCCGCAAGAGGACCTGGGGAGGCTCCCCGTGGCTCTGCCCCGTCCCCAGAACAGCTCGGGAGCCTGTCCCTGAGTACCTAGGGGGCGCTTTCCCTTGGGCAGTTCCCGCACCTGGCTCTGTGGTGGGCAGCCAGGTGTCCACAACCAACTCAGCTGGGCTTGTGCCCAGGCGGAAGGGGGTGCCCAGTTCCTTCTTGGGAACCTTGGCAGAAACCGGTGGCAAAGCTAGCATTCTAGCAACGTCCCAACGGGATTGAGCCTCTGAGGTTGGGACGTCACCTTAGGGTAGCCTCACAGAAATTCGACTCAGCTGGCCGAGGGTGGGCACACCTGTGACCGCTGCTGTCAGGAGACCGCGGGCTCGGGGCCAGCCTGGGCAGCTTGGACCCTGTCTGAATCTAAAAATGATTTGTTAAAGGGCTGGGGTGGGGCGCAGCTCAGCCATGGGGCACTTGCCCGGCTGGTTCCCCCTTAACGTCCCCTCCACGCACACACAGTGACCATGGTGGCGTCTGCAGGGGAGGCCTCCCCAGGGCAGAAGGGAACCCGGGGGTCCTTTTGCTTTCAGATCACCCGGGGCTGACGGGCACGAGCCAGATCGAGAAGTTCCAGGAGAAGGCGCAGATGGAGCTGCAGGACTACGTGCAGAAGACCTACGCCGAGGACACCTACCGGTGAGCTCTGCCCCCCTGTCCTGTCCAGTGGAGGCTGCATGAGCGTGGGAGGCCTCAGAGTGCTTCTCCCTCGTCTGACGGGTGGTGGCCTCTCCTGGGGCTGGTGCGGCCAGGCCCTGTCTGCCCATTGGAAAGTGCTGCCTCTGGTCCTGGGTGTGACCCTAGGGGAGAGCAGAGAGTCGCACAGGTCATGCCTCCAGAGACGCTGGCTGCAAGGAGTCCCCGTGTTGGGGGCTGGTCCGGCGTTGGCAGCGCTAACAGGGCCTCCCCGGCTCTGCCAAAGCACGGCCCCCCGCACTGCTCTGTCCCACAGGGCTGCGGGAATTGCTGCCCCCTTTCACTCCAACCACTTTCTACTTTTTAGCCCGTTCTGACCCCACGAGGGTTAACAGTCCAGACAGACGAAGCCCTTCCCTAGGCTTGTGTCCCCTGCCCAGAACTGCCCGGGCCCTGCAGTTGTACCTGCTGGTGTCCTGAGCCTCAGGGGCACCTGGCGGACTGCAGGGCCAAAGCCAGGACCGTCCCATGGCCATGCCTAATGTGGTGGCAGTGCCCGCGGCCCAGCTGCAGCTTTTATAGCACCATTGTTCACCACAATCTCTGGAGCCCGGAGTCCCTTCAGCCTGTGCAGCAGGTTCTAGCCACGCGCTCCCCACAGACGCCCTGTGGCCAGCCTGGCTTATTTCTCTGGGGCCCCAGGGTGAGATGGCCCCTGCTGACATCCTGTGACCAGCAGCCTGTGTTGGTGTCCCTCTCACCCCGGCTGTGGGTGATGGTGCTTGAATGCTCTGAATATAGTTTTTTAGAACATTCTAGAAAGTGCAAAGGGGACAAACTACTTCATTAAGAAAGCATCACCTGGAGCTGTCCTACCTTTGACCTTCTGTGTTCACTTCCAGAAACTTGCTTTGTGTCATTGGGAATCAAAGCCCATAACTTTTTATCTAATACAGAACGAGCAGCGCAGTCACAGGGGACACAGCGGATACACTGTCTGTGGCCCTCACACCAGGGTTTCTTCAAAGTGAAGCATCTTTTACCTGGATTTTGAGGCCATACCAAGCTCTCGTAGCTCCGGAGAGGCAGGGACAGCCAGGAGTGTCGTGGGGACGTCCTCCGGCTGCTTTTTATCGCACAGTGTGTCGTGGGTCTTTCCCCATCGAGACGTAGACACTCTTCCTGTCTTTCAGGGAGTGGCAGGTTGTTCTGTGAGGACACAGGGTGGCTTTTCCTTGTGTGGGGGCCGAGTGTTGTGTCTCCACTCACCTGCTGGGTGTCCTCAGGATGACCTGGGCAAGCCGCTGTTGAAGTCGGGAAAACCAGAGAGCTGGGCGGGCGGGTGGCGGTGGCGGCCTGGTCCCCTGAGCTGGAGGCCCTCCCGTCTCTAACGCGGCTCCCTCTTGCAGATTGGCCCGGATCCTCGTCCGCCTGCCTGCGCTCAGGCTGATGAGCTCCAGCATAACGGAGGAACTCTTTTTCACTGGTCTCATTGGCAATGTTTCAATAGACAGCATAATCCCCTACATCCTCAAGATGGAGACAGCGGAGTACAACGGCCAGATCACCGGAGCCAGCCTATAGTACCCACGCGCGCCCGCCACCGCCCGTGGGACCCGCCAGGACCGCTCGGACCAAGGGGAGCAAAAGTAGTGGTGTTTGGTATGTGCAAAGGGTGGCCGGGTCCCACCCGGTTCCTCCTGTTGACCCCAGACAGCGGGATCCTCTCCCGCCGTGAGAAGCGTTTTCATGCCTTTTGATGAAGATTTTGGAAAAATCTTAACTCCATTTGTATTTAGCAATTCTCAAAGGGCAAAAAACCATAAAAAGGAAGTTTTATAATGTCAGAGACTAGTATTAAAGCAACTAAAAGAACCTAAGAGAACAGTATGTGTGTAAATATATTAAAAATGTCCTTGGAATTAATAGCTACTAATTGCCAGGGTGACAATAGCACTTTCTAAGCACTTGTTATCAAACTTTGTAACGTTAGCGACACCTGCCTGTGGGCGGGGCCACGGGAACGCGGGCACCTTTGGCTGGAGCGCTGGGGACTGACACCGCGGGTTCTGGAGACAATCAATTGTTTAGAGCGTCGTCTTTCCTCGGTCTGTTCACGTGGCTCCTGTGAACGGAAACGTGGCGACCGGGCTGACCGTCGGGTCCCCTGACCGCGGTCCTGGTCTGTGGCGGGCGTCTGCGGACTCTCCATCACCTGCGCCTGCTTCTGAGGATTAGGTTGGAGCGGGTCAGACCGAAAGGCGACAGGAGACCTGTCACACCTCCAGCATCGGCAGACGTCCTCAGGTCACCTCACGCTCGTGGCAGCTGCAGCCTCTGACCCAGCAGGGCAGGGTGGGCACCCTCAACCCTGGACTCCCCTTCCTGAGTGGGGGGGGGGCTGCGTGGAGAGGGACGGTGCAGCTTCTGGAGCGTGAGGACCCCTGCCCAGGGGTTTCCACCTGACATCCCGGGAGCAGGTCAGGGCCGGTGGCACAGGAGCCCAGCAGCTCGTCCTCTGCAGGTCATGAACATCAGGGGTGGCCTCTCACTGTCCCAGCGCGTGGTGCCCCAGCAGAAAGCAACCCTCATCCCCAAGGGACAGTCTTCCTCAGAAGTTAGTGACCCTAGTTGACACCAAAAACCGAGCTCGGTTACCAGGCGTACCGTCACCTCCATGAGCGCAGTTTGCATCTGTTGACCAGGTGGCCCATCCCTACCTTTGTCCCCAGGGCACTGGGTGTGGGCTCCAGGCAGAGGGGCTGTGTCCTCCTGCAGTGGGCAGTGCTCCGGGCTGTGGCAGCAGGATCTGGGGGACACACCCCCCTCAGTCTCCGTCACTAGGGCTGTTACTCCTCCTGGGCAGCAGAGGCTGGAGAGTGGCAGTGGTGGCCGATGGACTTGAGTGTTTAGGAAGGTGAGACAGAGGCTCCCCGAGAGCAGAGCTGGCCTGGTGGGTCTGGCGGCTCCTGTGTCCCTCACAGCTGCCACTTCCGTGTTCTTGCATGTCCGAGGGCCGCATGATGGCCCTGGGTGCCCCATGTGCCTGCAGAGGTGCCGGCCTGAGCTGCCCAGGGCTGATCCCGGAGGACGCTCTTGGGCTTGGAAGTCCCTCGTGTGGCCTGAGCCTCAGGTTACTTAAGGAAACTCACCATTTAGGGTGCAGCCGTCATGGGCCGTCAGCATTGGGGAGCTTGTGGTCCAGGTGTGACGACGTGAGGCCAGGTCCCGAGACGCTCTGCATGCAGCCTGGGTGAGGACACCAGCCCAGGGGGGAGGACGACCCCCACGGTCACTTCTTGGTTAAGCGGCCTTCTTCCTAGGAGTAGCTCAAGTGACGCTGACTCAGGTGTTGGAGTCACCTGTGCATACACCAGACCCAGACGCTCAGCCCAGTGTCACTGGTCCCCTTCCTCCTGGAAGGTGAGGTGCTGCCCAGCCTCTGCCCTCGGGCTAAGGTTTTGGGGTCCTTAAATGGGTTTTTCTATTGAATCTGGGGTGTGGTGGCCGTGCACCCTTCTATTCTGGCTTGTGGGCAGGACTGGGCACACCCCTCCCCACAGCCACTTGGGCAGCTGGCCACTATGGGAGCCAGGAGCTGGAGCCTCACCCTGTCCTCCGGGGACGCCTCCCTGCAGAGCAGTCCTGGGTGGCAGTTGGCATCCGTGTCTGGAAGCCTCTGGCTGGCGGCGTTCAGGGTCCCCTAAGCCTGTTAAGTGTCCTGTGAGACCCGATTTTTCGCCAGGTGCCCTTTGGTCCTGGGAACACCTCAGCCAGTAAGCACATGCCCCCATGTCCCCTGCCCAGCCACCGATCTCTAGGTCAGTCACGCAGCTCTGAAAATTGTCTTAACTTTGTAGATTTTGAAAGCCAAGACCCCAGCGCGACAGGGTGGCTCTTGGTCTTCTGCACACTAGGTTCCAGGCCACCCCCTCCTCCTGTGTCCCGCAGTGTGTACTGGGCGTGTCCAGCCCCAGGGCTCCGCAGCAGCCTGGGTGACATACATGTGTCCATACCCCGAGTACAGAGCTGTATGTGTGTGACACACGCCCGCCCCTGCCCTGGACAGTTCTGTGACAGTTGCTCGAGGCCCCTGGTTTGGGGGGGGCTGGTTTTCCTACCTGCATCTTCCCGTGGGGAGGCCTTTCTCTCCAGGCAGGAAAGGAGGGGACAGGAGGACTCTTCTCTGTTCACACGAGGGCTGCTGTGTCCACAGCTACGTGGCCATTTCTCAACTCAGTCACACGGCAGCTGGCAGCCCAGCTGGAAGGAGTTTCCCAGGTCCCGCGCTCCACGTGGCCAGAGTCAGGCCCCGGCCAGGGTGCGGACCGTCCTTGTCAGTGGGGCCTAGAGCGAGGCCAGGGCACAGCCGGGGGGTCTTTGGAGGCTGGCCTTGGTGCAGTTCCCTGCCCCCTGGGGGCCTGGCGGGTCCCCAGGCTAAACTCCTTTCTGAAAAATTCAAATCATAATTTTCAGAAACGAACTGGTGTTTGTCCTTAAAGCCACAGACACCAAGTTTCTGTCACCAGGTCTAACCTGATGACTCCCCATAATCGGGCTCTGAGCGAAGACCTGGCCCTGGAGCCAGGCCCAGCCTGGTGGTCACTGCTGGATGACGGGACCCTCCCAGGCCCCAGGCTGCTCTTCTTCTCGGTGCAGCATCAGCATGTTCGAGGACACGGGGACAGTGCTCAGTGCCTTTGAGAGACGCGGGCCCTCAGCGCTCGGTGGCCCTACTTTGACGTAAAACGAAGGTGGCGCTGCTGTGGCCCTCACCTGCTGTGACAATCACGTTTGAAAGTGGCTTTCTAGCTGAAAAACGTGGAAGCCTGACAGTCCCTGTCACCTGTCTGGCCGGCACAACAGCAGCCGAGTGACCCAACCACTTGACGGGGCATTAAAGGGTGAAGGTTGGGGTGGCGGTTGGGGTCAGCAGGCTCTCCCTTAAGAGTGGCTTTTCCTCGGGAGCAGACTCAGTTGTGCGAGTGGCAGACTTGCTGTCCTCCGTCTCACCTGTCCCCCGGGGGCCAGCGCTGGCCTGGTCTTCTGACTGCGAAGCTGCACGTGTCCCCACACACCAGCTGTGGGTTCCCGGTAGTTGGGACTTCTGTTAAAATGTAGCCGCGTCCCAGCCCTTAAAAAGGCACCCCCCAGAGGACAGTGCGGGCGTGAGGTTTCCTGGGACCGTCCCTGTCACCCTGCCCTTCTCTCCTTGACGCCGTGACGTTTGGACTCCGGGTTGAGACCCTGTGGAGGCTGCAGCTGTGCACAGCTCCCGTCCCCTGTGAAGCGAGCGTTGTTCTGTGATGGCATTTCAATGGCATGTCCTTTTTAACCCGATTTTGTATCTAACGCTGTCCCGCCCGCAGCCCTGCGCTGTGTCCGTGGCGCTGCCGTGCATGCGCAGCTGTGTGCGTGACCCATGCTGTCTGATGTGGCCTCGCTGTGGCCCACCCTGCTGCCTACAGGAGGGCAGACCATTAAAAGTGAATTAAAGCCTCGTGCGCCTGCTCCTCATTTCTCCCCAGCGCACTGGTGACATCTGCCCGGGGGACCTGCGGGGACTGTCGGCAGGGAAAACCCAGGCAGCGACCTCTGTCCACCGCAGGGCGGCTCCTTGGTGAGGGGTGAGGCTGCTTCAGGAGCAGGGCGGCCACCCGACCTTGTCACCAGGCCTTGAGCCACCACACAGCAGGCTCCTCACCTAAGGAGATTCGCTAACCAGGGTGGAGCCACCCATGGGGGGACAAGCTCATGGTCACCTGGCCTCTCATTTCACAGGTAAGGACGCTAAGGCCCCAAGTCACAGGCATGACAACTCATGACAGCCAGATCCCTGAGTGGCACTGCCCGCCGTGCCTCCTGACGGCCACACGGCTGCTGTCTGCAGAACCACCCCACGGCTCGGGACACGGCTAAGCGTCGGCAGCCCTCCCGCTCCGCCAGGCCCCGTGTCTCAGATTCAAAGACAAGTTGTAAACGATGACGTGCGCGATCCTCGTCCACTGCCCACGTCCCAGGGAGGGTGGCCCCAGGCCAAGCGCCACTCACCTCCACCCACTGGCCCGGAGGTGTGGCGGGTGCTCCCCACACCCTGCTGAGCCTGAGCGCGAACCCAGGCCTCTGTCCCTCTGCAAAGAGGGGCGATGGCTCTGGATCAGGGCCCCCCTCCTCCTGGGAGGCCGTGTCACAAAGCCAGCGGCTGGGCTGGGGACAATGCAGTGGCCCTCCATACTGGCTGTGGGAGACAAGGGCCACACTGCCACCAAACACCAGCCCGTGAGCCTGTGGCCCTCAGAGCACCCTGTCCACTACGACTAGAGTCACTGCAAACGGGAACCTGGACGTCAACGTCTCTGGCAGGTCCCTAAACCACATTACAGCCCCCACGGCAGAGGCCACCTGCACCAGCTACCACCCAGGAAGGACCCTGGGGGGCTGTAGGACCGGCCAGGAAAGGAAGGTGCCAGCCTGACCCCCACCACCACCTGCTGGCTGAGCTGCCAGGGCCCTGTGGGAAGCCTCCCCAGCAGGGGCCACGGACCTGAGTGACAGGGGCCTGCACCACAGTGGGCTGCGGCAGCTCCGCCCAGGCCGGACCCCACCCCCATGGCATGCAAGGGCCACATGCTTGGTTTGAAAGGCCAGCCCTCCCAGGAGTGGAAAAGCCACAAAGCCACAGGCTCAGCCCCCTCCCCGAGAGCAGGTCTAGAAACGACCTGCAGCAGTGTCCCAGGGCAACACGGTGGCAATGGCCTCTACCCTCCCTGCCCAGAGTCCCCTTCCCTGCGGCAGGACCAGAAGCACAGTGCTGCTGGGGCCACCAGGCCTTTTATTGAGCAAGGGACGGGGACATCCACGCAGCACCTCAGCCTCAGTCCAAAGGCGACCTCCAAGAGCAGTCCTGGGGTCACCCCCATCTCACCACCCCTTGGCGCGGGCGGCTCAGTCCTTGGCGCTGGCCCTCAGGGCGGCTCTGTACTTGCCGGTCATCTCCTTGGGCAGGGCCACCAGGCCCGGGCAGGGCACCTGGCCCTCCACCTGGCACATGCACTCCCGCAGGCAGTACTTCCGGGGCCCGAAGTTGGCGGGGTGCCACAGCTGCTGCCTCTCCTGCTGCTCCCTCTGGAGGGTCTCCCTGCAGGAGCGCCCAGGTGAAGCGCAGCCCGGTCCCCAGGAGCCCCCACCCACCCCGTGCAGAGGGCCAGGTCACTGGGAAGACAACCCCGTGCTGTCCCCAAGAGCAGCGTGCATCCTGGGGTCAGCCCTTCCTCAGGCCCAGGCGGGGACCCGGGAAGCCCCAGGGTTGCAGAGACACGGCCCGTCCCCTGGCTCCAAGCAGGGCTTCACACGGGGCCTTCCAGCCGCACTCCAGGGGCCTGTCCCCACCCGGGGCCAGCAGTGAGCAGCCCCAGCTCAGCTCCTGCCCGGTCGGTGGCAGCCACTCACTCGCTCTTCCCCAGGATCTTCCTGACGTGCTCCACGATCTCCTTGTTGCTCTTGGTCTCCACGTCCACCAGGACCTGCTCCCCGGAGTCTGGAAAGAGAGGCCCGGGCCGGAGGCTCAGCTCATGCGCACAGCCCCAGAAGCTGCGACTCCTTCTGCTGCCGGGGCAGGGACGCCTGTCACACGGACACACGTGTTTACAGAACCCTGAGGCCGCCTGGCGCTCTCCGTGCTCCTGGGATCGGAGCCGCCTTCAGGTGGGCGCCGAGCACCCCGCGCAGCACCGCGCCTTCCAGCCAAGACTCCGCAAGACGAGCTGCAGGGGCCGTGGCCCAGCTCTCCCGGGAGTGGGTGGGGCCTACACGCGCGCTCACACCCATGAGGACGGAACCGGGGCTCTACACACCGAGCTCCGTCCCCAAACTCCCTCTTTAGTACCAGCATTGAGCCCCCGGGCGCCCACCCCGCCTTTTGGTAAGGAACTGTTTTGCTAGGCGACAGGAGACACAGCGTCACTGCTCCGCGGCTGCAGTGCCGTCGCGGCCCAAACCCAAGCAAGTGTTAATGCAGACACCAAAAAGCTGACCCCGAAATGCACGTGGAAAGGAGAAGGGCTCAGAGCAGCCCCCACCTTGAAACAGAAAACGGGGGAAAGAGGGGGAAGGAGTCCCACTTTCCCATTTCAACGGCACCTGAGTTGGAGTCACTGCAGTGGGACACGCGGGGTCAGCGTGAGGACAGGCTTGAGGGGGGGACGGACCGAGTCCGGGAACTGCCTGCTCATGTGCGGACCAGCGGCCTGGGCCGAGGTGGGCCCCACACAACCTGCGTCAGGGGGCCCGACAGGGCGCGCCCGTACAGGAGGGTGAACGTGGGCATCCGAGGCCCGAGAGGGGACACGCAGGTGAACTCTCAGCAGCAGAGCGCCTGCACAGCACGCCCAAGGCTGCACGGAGAAGGAACCTTCTAGAAGAGAACACAGGAGCAAATCACAACCCTGCTGAAGCAAAGGTTTTCAGCCACATCAAAAGCTAAACTACGAGCCACCCCAGGTGTCCACCAACAGACAGGCTCTAAGACAGGGTGGCACGTGGGGACAGCTGGATTCAGCCATTAACCCGATGGCAGAGGCCTTGTGTTCTCACGGGTGGAGGCCAGAGAGGAAACAGAGGTGGAGAGGAGCTCAGGAAAAGTAAGGGAGGCCAGACCAGGCAGGAAGGGCTGCGAGATCAAGCCAACCTCACAACCCAGCAGGACCCCGTCTTTAGATAAAGAATGAAGAAGCTGGGGGGTGGCTCGGGTTAAGCACCCCTGGGTTCAAGTCCTGATACCAAAAAAGTAAGTATAAAAAAAATTAAGTGAGATCCCTAAAGGAAAGTGACGGGGTGGGAGGGGCGGGGGTGAGGGAGACAGGGAGGAGGAAAGTGGTGGGGACGGCCCTGGCCAAGCTGTGACACTGTGTGTGCATACGTGACACTTCCGTCATGTGCAAGCACAATACACTAATAAAGACAGAAAGGAAAAAAATCAAGTGAAATAAACCACTAAAAAATTGAACTAAAATTGAAAACTTACACACTTCCAAAGACATCATAAGCCACAAACTTGGGGATAAGGAACCTGTGCCCCAAATATGTAGGAACTGTCAACTCAAGCCAAGCCAACTTCAGAACGGAAGTGGCTAATGCACCCATGAAAAAATCTTCGATTTAGTCACTAGGAAAATACTAATGAATACAATGAGATCTCATATCAGAATCACCAAGATTTTAAAAAATGACAATAAAACCTGCTACTAGCTGGGCCTGGTGGTGCGCACCTGTTATCCTAGCAGCTCGGGAGACTGAGGCAGGAGGATCTCAAGTTCACAGTCGCCCTCAGCAACATCGAGGCCCTAAGCAACTCAATGAGACTCTGTCATTAAATAAAATACAAATAGTGCTGGGGACAGGGCTCAGTGGCCGAGGGCCCCTGGGTTCAATCCCTGTACCAAAAACAAAGCAAAACCCTGCTGCTGAGGATGTAATAACACAAACTCCCACGTGCAGATGCCGAACCCCACTTCAGCCAGTGAAGACCAAATAGAAGGGGGCGGGGGGGAAGCAGAGTGGCTGTCCTTATTTACAGATGACATGGGCACAGTGTACACGAGATCTTAAGCTATCTAGAAATAAAAACTAGAAATGGTGAGGAAGCAAGGTCGACGACAGGTGCAGAGATCGGAAGCAGCAGTCCTGTGCAGAGTGCACGGCCTCAGCCAAGACATTTACAAAGACCATTTATGTGGTCACAAAATACTCGGGCTGTTAAAATGTCCTCAGAGTTCTCGCCAAAGTAGCCTTTGTGGGACATACTCAAACCATAACACATCTGCCCTATGTGGTGGCTGGGGAGGCCAGCACAGGAGGATTGTAAGTTTGAGGCCAGCCTCCACTATATAGTGAAGCCTCATTTCAAAATAAAAGGTTGAGAATGTGGCTCAGTAGTAGAGCTGTCCTACATTCAACCTCCAGTGCCACCAAAAAAAAAAAAAAAAAAAAAAGCAAACTGCAGTGTTAATTCCAACATGATCCTCACCAAGCTGACAGGTCTACGGTTGATATGGAAATCCATAGGCCTACCCAATTCCTTTCATTTCTTCATTTATCACTTTTATTTTGTTTCCTGGGAGTGAGTCTCAGCTCCGCTCTGCCCCTGAGCTACACCCCAGCCCATTTTTATTTGCAGACAGGGATGATGTTGCTCAGGTTGGCCTTGAACTTGGGACCCTCTGAACTGCTGGGATTACAGTCGTGTGCCACAGCACCTTTTGAAATGCCACTCAAGTTCAGTATAACACTGCACAAACAGGCTGCTATGAGCTCAAGGACCAGTGTCCACCAGTGAGAGGGAGGAAAAGGACTTCAGAAATCACACTGTCAGGGGACGTTGGGGTGGACACCCAGGATGCACGCAGCACCTTAACCTTTTAAAGACACGGGCAGCGACAGAGACGGGGATCCAGGGAGTGGGAGCGCCGCTTCCCTGGAGGTGGGTCAAAGGGGCCCTCGCTAGGACTCTGCCCTGGACAGAGGCTCACAGGCCCAAGGACAGGCTGCCAGGGCCTGGTAAGAGGGCAGCAGCGGAGGTCGTGCAGCGAGGCCCGCGACGCCATCGGCACCCACGCATCCGCTGCCACCGGGCTGGGCCGTGAATGACAGCCCGCGCGGGGACACAGGCCGCCCCTGCTGGAGTCCTGGGCAGCCTGTGCGGAGCCCTGCGACACCCCTGCACAGGACAGGCACCTGCGCTTCCCGGGGACCAGGCAGGGCTGGGGGGTCAGGAGCCCAGGGAGCAGGACACAGCCACACGCCAACTGAGCGCCTGCCCGTGACCTTGGTGGCACCCAGAACAGAGTGGCCCCAGCAGGGATTGTTCCATGCAGGGGGTTCCAGTGGGGGCAGCCCAGGACAGCCCGATCCCCTGCCCCCCCCAGCCTGGGGGCTTAGAGACCAGCGGGGGTGGGGGACGGCGGGTCCCTGGGCAGCAGAGGGCGAAGGGTCCAAAAGACCCCAGACCTGCCTCCCGGCAGAGGAAGGTCTCAGGAGCTGGCCCTGCTCAGTGCACAGGGACAGGCGGGGACACGGTGGACGGCCATCTCTGCCAGTCACCTGCGGAGACTGTGGGCTCCCCACCAGCCGCTCCCGCTGGCTCAGGGAGACCCAGTGTCCTCAGAAGTCTCTCTGTTTCCTCATTTGTATATTTTCAAAGTCGCACCTGAGCCTGGTCGCAGGCTACACTGGACCAGAGGACAGCGCACCTGGCCCCCCAACAGGTTGACACTCAGTCCTCAGCTGCACTTCCACACAAGGAAGAGACGAGACAAAACCCCACACTACTGTCCAGGCCCCACATAAACCATGAGGGGCTCCGGGTCACACTGCGAGCATCCACTGCCACAGCACGAACAGTGAAGTGACAAAGGCTGTGGACACCACACCTACAAGCATCTCGATCCAGGCCACTCCACCACAGTCACAACCCGGGAGTGTGTGTCAACAGACGTGGAGGAGCCCACTCCCACTGAGGCCAAGACCAGGCCCTGAGGAAACAGACGCACAATCTCCCCAAACCCACAGCCCCCCACAAGGGGTCCCACTGATGTGAGGGAGACGAAGAAATAGGAAGATCATAAGAAACTGCTTCTCAGAATGTCTAACAAACTAAAAGAAGATCTACAGAAAGAATTGAGAGAGTGACTATAGGAGACGAAAAACCATTTTAATAAAGAAACAGAAATCGTGAGACCAAGCAGAACCCTGAGATGGGAGACAAGATGAGTCACACGCAAACTCACTCCCAGACGGTGCAGAAGACGGAGTCTGGGCCCTGAAGACAGGCTACACGACCCTCACACAGGGAAGGCAGTAAAGGGGGAAATCGTAGGTAAGGGCTCGGGGACAACTTTAAAAGACCAAACCTGAGAGCCACTGGGGGGGAAGAGAACATGGGGATACGGAATGAAGAGGAAAGAACCTTTTCACCTAGAGCTGAGGGAAACTCCCCCCAGATCAGAACACGATGGTTGTCCACATGCAGGGGGCTTCTAGGACACCAAACAGACCAGCCAGAGACCAAGTTTGCTGAGACGCATCACCATCAAAACACCTAACATGGAAAACAAGGAAACAATATTAAAGGCAGAGAGAAAGACAACAGGTCACATTTAGACAGAAACCAATAAGGCCACTTCTGATTTCTCTGCCGAGAGTCTAAAATCAAGGAGGCCTGCGAGGTATTCCAAACCCTAAAAGAACACAGCCGTCAGCCAAGGTCACTAAACCCGGCAGAGCTCAGTTTCAAATTAGAGGGGAAAATAAGAACATTCCACAACAAGAATAAACAAAGACTCATGAGCACCAAACCAGCACTGCAAAGAACAAAGATAAACTTCACAGAGAAACAAAAACCCCAGACTCCATAGAATGGCCCACTAAGTGAGAGTCCAGACAGGACGGGACACAGCAAGACCCCAAACGGCAGGAACCACAGACACACAGCCATGTGCTGGATGTTAATGGCCTTGAGTCCCCAATTAAGACTCAGATCAG